GTAGCAAATTCAAGACCAGGTAGAACTACATAGTGAAACTCTGTCTTAAAAAAAAATTGCATGTATACGCACAGGAAAATAAGTTTCTGTTTATTTCTTCTGTGAATGGGTTATACTTTCTTATTTTTTTCATGATATGTATGTGGTCTTTTGTTGGAAATTGGAAATTTTGAATAAGTGATGACTTTGTAAATCAGATTCTTCTCTTCACTATTTGTTTTTGTTGTTTGCTTTAGGTTGTAGTGGTTTGTTTAATAAATTTTCTAATTATTTTTCTAAGAAAAAAAGTATATTTTTTCAAGGGAAAAGTATTGTTCAGTTTTTTTTCTTTTAAATTGAATTTATTGGTACATTCTAGGTAGACAGTACAGTTACATTCATTACTGGGATCTTGTACCTTTACATGCCAAGTCTTGGTTCTCATTTTTTCCCCTTGTCCCCACTCTCCCTTCACCCCCTCCCCCCTCCCCCCATTCAAACACTTTGATTCCATTTTTACATTTTCTCATTTTTTTCCTTTTCCCTTGTTCCCCTTTCCCTATCCTTCTCACTGTCCCTATACCTTTGGTCCTTTTCTTCCTATTTTACATTGCTAATTGTCCCATTAGGATCTTGAGTACTGTTTTAGTTTTTCACACCAGAGAAACTATTCAGTATTTGCATATGTGTGACTTATTTATTTCACTTAGGAGTATATCCTCAAAATGTACCCATTTACCTATGAATGAATCTACTTTCTCATTCTTTATGGCTGAGTAGTATTCCATTTTATAGAAAAACCACATCTTCTTTATCCAGTTTCCAACTGATGGGCAGATGGGCTGTTTCCAAGTTTTAGCTATTACAAACTGTGCCGCTATAAACATGGGTGCACATATATCACTGTGGTATGATTCTTTCACTTCTTTTGGAAAGATACCCAATAGAGGGATGGCTGGGTCAAATGGAACCTCTAATCCTAGTTCTTTGAGGTATCTCCATATTGATTTCCATAGTGGTTGCACCAGTTGTTCAGTTATTTTTCAAAAAGTTTCTTGTACCTTGAACAAAAACAGCTATTCAATCAATATATTTTAATTGCATCATAATTAACTTTTGAGACAATTTAAGATATAATTTAAAATATTACTGTGCGTTTTTTGGTTTTATTTGTAGATCGCACTAAAACAGTAACAACAAGCTTCCTGTAGTTATCCTTAAAGGTGTTAATCTGATTCCTTTGAGTGTGGGTGAGAGTTTAAAAAATAACCGAAAGACATTCTACTAAGGCTGTTAGATAATAAAATAATTCACTTTTAGTCCCTTAACAAATTTTGAACATAATTTTTCTTTTCTCTCATTGATTTTGATATCTTATTGTCATTGAGGTCTTTGCAGAATGTGGCAAAAATTCTGGAATATAGTTGACACTTATATATGTCTTTTGAGTGAAAGAAAGGCAGTATGGAGCCAGTTTATAATTTGTGATAATACAAAGTATAATAATAAAAGATTATGATTACTTCTTTATTAATAATTACTTCTATAGTTTTAGATTTGAGAAAGGTTGTTGCATCATAATTCTACCAATACATGACATTATATAAACAGTTTTTTGACTCCCAGATTTTTCAACAGTTTTGGGATCCTTGAGCTACAATATAAGTTAATAAATAATATTTAAAAAATAGCACCACTGTACAGCCTTTAGATATCTTATAATTGACAAACTCTTCACCATTGTAGTATTGCAACTCATGTCTTATTTTTTCACCATTATTCCAGCTGCTTTTCTATATTTCTGTATTTCTATATTTTGTACCAGACCAATTTATTCTACATACAAATAACATTTAACTTTTCCCAAATTGTCTCGTGGTATGAAAAATCTTCTAAAATCTTAAACCAGAGCCAGCTCCTACAAAAGATTGTTAGAAAATTCCACCCACCATCACTAATTTCTTGTACTTTAAATTCAACAAGAATCCATATCAATTGTGTTTTTTGTATCGATTGATGAAATGCTTCTACAGATTTCTTGAAACTAGATATTATTGCTCTGATAAGGAACCACTAACTAGAAAATGGTACACGTGATTGCTAGGTAAATTATTTTAAGAGTGACACGTTTCTTCAGCTTTAATACCTATGAGAAAAAGTATGTACCTATGTGTATCGGTCACTTTCCATTGTTGGGACAAAATATCCAACCCCCACAACTGAGGTTTGGCTCATGGTTCCAGTAGGTTCAGTCCAACGTCACCTGGCTCCAAGCCCGAAGCAGCACGGAGGAAGTTCCTGGAGGAGCAGAGCTGCTCACCCTTTAGTGTCCGGGAAGCACAGAGAGAGTGAAGGGGCTGGGGACAGGAATACACCCTTCTAGGTCACCAAGGGACCCACCTGATCCAAGAAGGACCCACTTCCCCATAGCACCTTTTGCTGTGGACTCATTAACAGATTAAACCACTGACGAGCAGAGTGCCCCCATAGACCACTCATCTGTGAACACAAGGAGACTTTTGGGGATCATTTTAGATCTGAGCCATCATGTTACTTATGCATATATTTATTTACTGATTTATTTTTGCATTTAGATATGCCAGAAGAATCCAGAGACGAATCTCAATGTAAACTGAATAAAGTTAAGAAACAGTGTTTAAAGAATGATCTTCACAAACTGGTCCTAGCGGCTTTGAACAGGGTACGTTGTATGTAGGTTTTCTATTTTTATACTGTTAATTAGAATATTAACTTTGGGGAACTGGAGGTTTTTCAGTTTAAGCTTTCTGTTTACTATGATAATAGGAATTTAACACAATAGGGATGTGGGGGTAAAGGGATGTATATTGTAAGCTAAATCCAGCAAAGGTAAGGAAACTGTCAATTACAGATATAGTCATTCCTCTGTTGATTATTAGTAGTGTAATTCTGCTTGAGTTTGCTCAGTCTGAAAGATAACCAAAGATCTGGATATGCAGATAAATTTCTAGAGTTACATCAGAAACTATGGCTGCTATTTTCTGTCCTCTCTGGCTGCTTACTTTTGGTAAAAATTTCAACCCACAAAATTGTACCAGGCAGAACATTAAAATGTTGATTCTGTAGGCTCTTTTCATTGCCACGCTCAGAGATAAACTCTGCAAAGATTGGCTGTACCTTGTTTCTTCCCATTTTTGAGTGCATTTATGTCTCTGTGTACATAATTTGGAAGTTTAACATAAGGTAAATATTTAAAGAATGATTAGGGTAAATGATTTCCTGAGAGGAAGCTAATGTTCAGAGTGATTCATGAAAATGGTTCCTTTTGATTTGCTATACTTTAATAAATGTCATGACTTAATTAGAGTGTTCTCCAGAGAGATCACCTTTAAAATTCAATTTGAACTTTATAATGTAATTGTTTATGATATGTGAATCACTTGTATGGAAACCTTAATATAGATATACCTTAAGTATAGCAAGAACATATAGTACAATAGATTGTGTAATTCAAGAAATACTTACTGGAAGAAAGTGTATGGAAGGAACTGGTTAGGCTCTGGGAAGGCAAAAGTGAGAATGCTTTATACTCCGTCATGAGTCTCATAATGTGGTCGCACGAATAAGAATCGTGCGTGAAACATCACTAACAGTAGCCCTCCCCTATACTAGGTTCAAGAACGTATTCTAGAACACAGAGGAAGAAGCAGTTAATTTTAGTCATGGCAAGTATTGATGAGAAGTAAGAGGTGTCAAAAAAGCTTTATCGATCACTCTGATTTCCATTTGCCAAACTTGACTCTTTTAAGTGTGAAGATGTAGAGAAGACCACTCTGCCCTAGGTCTTATGTTGCTTGCTGTAGTCCAGGAGGATGAAAACTACTTTTTATCCTGTGCCAACACTGGAGTAATGACACGCACCGTCTCACTCAATAGTGACTATTACTTAGGGGTGAAGTGTTAAAGTTGCAGGGAAACAGAAGTAGCAATATTTTATTTCAGGAAGCTCTCTATAGCGTTATCTCCCCGATCCTCCATCATAACTGAGATAAAAATCTAAAAGATGGAATAACTAACTCTGAAATTCTGTCACTGTCATTCTTTCTTTGAATGGCTAAAAGCATCAGAAGTTTTAGGTACAAATATTGCAGACACAATGAAATGAATTTAGTCTAAACTCAGAAAGCAGAATCCTAAATAAGATAAAACTTGAGGTTTGACTACGGCTCACAAAGTATTTAATATATTCTGTATATATAAAATATATCATTACAGTTCAAGCTGAAGCTAAAATCATTGGGAAAATTCATGTCCTGCTTGTGTTTTATTCTTTCAGCTTTCCACAGATGAAAACTTTTAACCACTTGTTCCATAGTGATCTCTTTGTCTAGATTTATTTCTAAAGAAAGATGTAAAAAATAGACCCTTGACTGCCCCTGTTGTGTATGCAGTGACACCACTGTTCTATTTGTACAAGAGTCCCTGTAAAATAAAACCAGTGTGATGAAATGGTCACAAATCAAAAGAGTTTGTGGGCTTCACAAAAACCTTGAAGTACCCAGGCATGGTGCTACCTGCCCATAACTCCAACACTCCGGGAGGCTAAAGCCGGAGGACTGCAAGTTCAAACCCAGCCTAGGCAACCTAGCAACATAGCAAGACCCTGTCTCAAAATAAAAATTAATAATAATAATAATAATAAAACGATAAAGACCTGGTGATATAACTCTGTGCAAAGGCCCTGAGTTTAATCCCCAAGTCTTGCCAACAACAAAACCAAATGAAACAACAGAAAACCAACCCAACAAACAAAAAATCTTGAAGCAGTATATTCCCAGATTAAATATTTAAGACATTTATTTCATTTGTAAAGAACAGATAGTTAAAGAAAGACAACATTTGCAAAAGCAGTAGCAAGAACAACAATTAGAAATGAGCTGTGAGTACAGTTAAAAAGGCTTACAGGGCTGCTCTACAGAAACTATGAAACAACTCAGGGAGAGAAGAGTTGAATGCATAAAATTCTGTGCCTTCCTTTTCTTTTAAAAATGAAAATTAATCTATACTTACAAACTCTTAATAAAAATAGCAATAGCATTTTCTTGAAGTAGGTAAGCTAGTATAAATGAAGCTAATAATTTGTATGAATGACCAGGAGAATTTTGAAAAACAAGGGGTAGCTCATTTGGCCTAACTGCATCAGGTAATCAAGTGTTTTATAAAAGTTTAATAAATAAATTGGTGTGACACCAGCCCTGGAGGAGGTAGATCAATTCCCCATAACTGTGGTTCAGGAAAAGGGTCAAATTAAAATGTTCAATTGATTCATTGCTCCCCAGTATGCAAGGAAAAGTAGTTTATTCAGTAATTTGTGTTAGAACCACTAGCTTTTCAGACCTTTGAGGAAAACAAAGGAAGCTGAATCTTTACCTGAGTCTTTTTGCCAAAACACATTGTAAATGGATAAAATGTAGTGGTAAAAATTGACATATACATGTATTAAAATATTTTCAACTATAATCATTATTAATGTAAATTAAATAGACCTTTTGGAGGAAAATTTGGTAATATTTGTTAAAATTAATATGGACAACTTTCTGATCAGAAATTCCCTTCTAGGAATTTATAACACAGATATCCTTGAACATGTACACACACAATTTTAAACCAGAATGGTAATTGTGGCATAATATATAATAAGAAAAATGTGGCAACAAACTAAATTTTTATTTATTTATTTATTTTTGGTACTGGTGATAGAACTCAGGACCTTCCACTTGTGAGGCAGGCGGCAGCACCACTGAGGTGTATCCCCAGCCCATAGATGTTTACTTGTTAACCATTAGTGTTGCCTGAAAAATATTCTTTATCTTCTGGTGATTTGATGATAGTATTTTGTAGTACAGTGTTTTGGAATGTATGGCTAATTTTGGTTAAGAAATTACAAATAGATATTAGGTTTGTCATTTCTGGAGGAAACATTTAATGGCTGCTGAGGCATCTTCCAGAACATTCTCTCACTGACCTGTGACTATTGAATATTGGCTGTTCTGTCAGCAGAAGTCCCTCACTAACAGTAAAGAGCAGGGGGCTTTCCTGAACTGTAACATGTAGGTAAACAATGTGAGCAAGAATTGAAGTTACTGTTTTCACAGCCTATGAAATATTGAGAGTTTTACTGCAGTTTAATTTAATCTGTCCTAATACCATAATGACCATCAAGAAGACTAACCAAATCAGTTACTTTCTAATTATCTACCTCTGGATAGAGATAGATTAAAAAGCATGAGATTCCTAATGTGCCGTTAAGGAAGAATCTCATACTTTCTGTGAATACTATTGTATTCCTCAAATATCAATTTTTCTTCATCTATGCTAACACACTATTCATATATATCTGAATCTACCACCCCAGGCAAATTATTTAATGACTTAGTTTCCTTAAGTATAAAGCAGAGATAATAAATAATTCTTTACTCAGAGTTGATTTTATGAGATGTTTCATGTAAAAGTCTTAAGTACAGGGCCAGGGATTTAGCTTAGTGGTTGCTGCCTGCCTTGTAAGTGAAAAGTCCCGAGTTTGATCCCCAATACCCCCCCAAAAACCCAAAAAACCAAAAGCCAAAACCAAAACCAAAAAAGTCTAAGTACAATGTATAGCACATAAAATGAACTCAGTAGATATTAGTTAATGTTATTGCTATTAGATCTAAAAGTATCTTTTGACCTCTGGCTATAAAAGTGAAGAATGTCAGAGTACTCAACTTTCTACTGTCTCTGTGTGTTTTCCCAACAACTAGTGAAATAAGTACATAAATTCTACATTGATCAACATTTACACTCCGCTTTACAGTTTACTTCCTAAAATTGTTTTCATTTTATTCTTTTAGTTACATGGATTCATTCTTTTTTTTTTTTTTTTGGTACCGGGGATCAAACTCGGGTCCTTGCGCTTGCGAGGCAGGCCATCGAACCGCTGAGCTAAATCCCCGGCCCCATGGATTCATTCTTCAAATCCTTCTGTTGTAGTTTTTCTATTCGTCTTTCATTCATCTTTTTATTTTCATAATTTCTTTATAAAGTTGCATTCTCTGACTATGTTCATGCTTAGAATGCTTTTTCTTTCTGTTATTGCTGCCTTTGAACTCTTGTGAAAACAATTTGGTTGATTGTGAAGATGTTGGGGTTTTTCTTTCCTGGAAGACTTTGTAGGCAGCTCACTGTGTTCTAGTTTGAATATTTTAGTGAAGAAATCTGGAGAGTGGAAACATTTCATTTTTTTCTTAATAACTTTGTCTGACTACCCAAAGAATTCTTTATCCTGAAATCCCACTGGTTGATTAAGATATATGTTAATCATAGTCCTGGAATGTGTTATCATTATTACAGCTGTACATTCAATAATTTTTTTCCTGGGAAGTTTTCAGGAATATATATAAAAAAATATATAAAAGATATCATATATAATATAATATTTCTATAATCATATAAGATATAA